CAAAGCAGGCATCGGGCATGTCGTCTTTTGAGTATATTTGAGTGATGATGTTATTTGGAAACTGCACAGATGAGCAAACATGGCGGCAGTAGCAGCATTAATGGAGCTTGGAGAGCCCTGCTTTTCCCAGTGTCTCCGACCTACTGCTCACTTGTATCAACAAGTGCCTCATGTATCCACACACAGATGTTAGCTTCAGACATTAGCCTGTGATATAGTGTGAAGAACAATCAACTCACTTGAACGCAGATGCCCCAGGGACCTTTCAGGGTCCTTGTTTTATTCTTTCAATATATAGTGATAATGAAGGAGCCCTTAAACCCTCCTTGAAAAATATTTCCCCTGAGAAATGTGCACTCAGGCTGCATTCCTTATACCATTCTGTCTTGTGTGTTAAATTTCCTGGAATTTTTTTGAACAACAGGATAGGAGATTTGTCATGTCTTCCATAATATGGATAAAGTGATGAATGTATAATTGTTTAATGTAATGATACTTTGCTTGAAAGATTTTTTACTTGTTAGTTGGAGGTCAGGATTTGATGCAGACCTGAATATTTTTCCTTTGAAGGGTTATTATGTGGTATTATGCTCAGGCCGTGATTATTGGCTTTCCACGTTTCCCTTGTGATTATGTCCCTAGTTAATACATAGTGTTTGCCATGCCATATAGATCACAAGATAAACCCCAGTGGTCCATGGTCACAAGCCACAAATGGCAACATTTTAGAAGAGCTGAGCTGGAACCCAAAATGATCTCTTGGCATGGGCTTGGAAAAGAAATCACAAGTCTTACGAGCCCTTGGGGTGTCATTTTGCCTGGCGGTGCATTCAGGCAACACTTATAAACACGTCCTGTCCAACTGGAGAGCAGCAGACACTTTATGAGCTCAGGATTGGATGGTGTGAGAGAGGTAGGCACGTAAAAGTGCCTGGCTGGAGGAATCAAAGGGAGGAGACAGTGTCCCTTGGGATGCCGGAGCCCCACTGATGGGATCCTCACAGACAGAAGAGGCCTAGTTTGCCAGTGGAGAGGTCACTTTCCTGGGCCACTGTGGTTCCTCAGTATCACCTATCAGCCAGGTCAATCAGTGGCTGAGATAAAGCAGCTCCTAAGGCCGGATAGTCTTTGAACACAGCAGGAGAAAAACTCCCCTAGGTCTTCTGTCTTATTAAACTTGAAAAGGTATATTAATCCTTGAAAGGCTAAGATAACAGTATGGATGACACCAGTCAAGGAGACTGACAGTAATTTAAATGTTGGCTCATCAATGTTTTATCTTAGGGGATAAGCAGAGAAGATGTGGAATTCATCTACTGCTCTCAAAAGGCTGTTTGTCTCCTGCAGGTCAGGTTGTTTTCCATAAAGAAATTAGTGTTAATAAACAAAACATCACATATTCCATTCAGAAATATGTATTGTAAAAATGCTTACTAAACAAAAGCTTTATTTTTGAAATGCTGTTTCATATAAATGATTTAATTTCAACTGACAGGCACACAAGCCATCACAAAAAGAAATCTTGGCCTTACAGACATCACAGGTCACACAGAATCCAATAGAAATTGTTCTGATATCCTTTCCCCACCCCCCTTTTCTTTTCTGAGGTGCACTTTTTCACACCAACACACAGTCTCCTCTGTTTGCTGCCAGCGCTGCACTGTTCTACACCTCGAGCATGGTTAGCAACACATGGAAAGAAAAACACCACGTTGTACTGCTGGATGCCAGATTCGTACAAATCTTGACATGCACACAAGAAAGCTGGAAAATGTCCTTTATGTGGTGTTTCAGCCTAATGTCATCTTCAACTTTGGTGGGCAGAGTTTGAAACAGTAGAAGTGCATCTAACAAAAGAATTCCTCCGTTACCCAGACTTGTGAGACAGTTAACATCAAACAAATCCTTCACAGCAGCTCTGTGGCATAAATATAATTTACCCCTGTACATTATTAATCGACATAAGCCTTGCTTTGCATTAATTTTGAAAGCTCTGAAATCTGGCCCACTGAGTAAAATGAAGTGAAGTCAGTTACCTGCATGTCATTTGCTGCTAACATTCCCAAGTCTATGTTTTATAAATGGGAAACACAAAAACTTTAAATGTACTGTTGCACTATATAAATACACTGAATTTATCTTTTGCAATTAATTGTCAGAGGAGCCAAAAGCAGGTAAAAATGAGGTCAAATACACTTCAGTGTATGTTAATAGCAGCGCTTTAGTATCTTCAATATATAGATCATACCCTTATTTATTAGGTTTTTACTACCCATGAAATGAGTGAAAGCACATTTCAAAGACAGCAATAAATCAAGTGTTTCTTGATCTGATAAAGACTCAAAAAAGAACCAGAACTGTCCACTTTAATAAAGTAAGATTTAGACATGTCATGGAGTCCTATTGTGCTTTGTCAGTCATGAACTTGACCAGGCCTGCTAGGTGGACTTAGGGCATCTCTTTTAGAGGTTTACCTCCATTATAATGTGTGTTTTCATCAGCCAGTTTACTGTGCAAACTCTCCTTGTGGTACTTTTGTTATCATTATTAAACCTAAACTCTACTTTGTGGCAGCTGAACTTAAGATGTAGGTGATGTAAACAGTAGGTTAACTCTGATATTTTCAAGGCCTTTAGGTATTCTATGTGTATGTGTAGGTATTGCATTGCTGAAAAATATAGACATAATAATATGAACCTGCATTGCTAAACATGTAGATTCTACTAATACAGCCCGGAAGTGTCACTGTAAGTCGTTTCAAACAGTAGTAGGAAAGATGGCAGAGCTGAAATGTTTCACTGTTGCTCCTTGTCCCAAAGCTTCAAAACAAATTCTTATTGTAGACTGTGCAAATGATAACAAAAAGCCTATAGATGTATGATGCTCTCTGATGCTGCCTGTGCTTTGTCTCATATTGGTTAGCCATTGTTGTCGCTCAGGGTGTGGTGAGTAGCAACAGTGTATTTTGGTGATGACACACGACAGTGAATATCAGGTGAGCAGTGACTGCACTGTCGACCTGCTGATGCTGATAATTAATGTCAGAGATCACATCGGTCTCATCACTGAATAGCTGACCACACGGTATCCTCTCTTACTGTCACTGCCCGTTCAGGCTACACCCTGTCCTCTGTACGATAGGTAACTAAGCTCTTTCCCATTGTAATCCAGATTTCACCTCCTCTCTCTGCTCTTATGATGTGACTGGTGGTTCAGATGGTGCAAACACAGCATCCTTACCTAAGCTCCCTTGTTAGGTCTGAATGTACAGCGTCTGACACAGTGAACATGCATCATACAAGGCTGCAGGCCATTCAGCACGTTTCCCTCAGAAAGTAAACACTGTGAGGTACATAATAGTTTGCTAAGAAAAAAAATGTGTAAGTACAGAACCATGTACAGAGCTAATGAACAGAGTTATTATTCTGGAAGAAAAGTTGTTTTCTTAAACATTTACTGTGATTGCTAACATTAAATGTGCAGGCAACAGGTCCCACTACAGAGGACACCAGGAGGGTGCCATGTTTGGCAATGGTGCAATGGTTGCAGGACTAAATTTGTGATTCAGTTTTATTAAGGGACCAAGTCATTGAACTTGTTTGAAATTAGAATTTGATACATTTTATTTGCAAGGACTCACAGCTCAACTACAACTCAGCTATGAAATAAATTTTTTGGAGCAGCAATAATGCAGAATGTTGACGGAACAAATGAAGGCTGATGCATGTGGTTTGAGCTATTAGGGCCACTTCATGTGGATGAAATATATTAGACCATCGTTTTAGCTCTTGTCAGCAGTGCAGTGCTTGTAGTGTATTTTACTCTCACTGTGCTATTCTTGCCCAATTGCTCAATACACTGAGACGTTATTTCATTACTTGGCAGGCGTTTTGATTGTAAGAATGTGTTGTGCGTGTGTTGTTGATGCTCGTGCATTTGAAATAAAACCATGTGCGTTTCTGCCTTGAGAGTTTAAAGTCTGCAAAGTCATCATCACCATCATCTATCATACATTCTTGCATGTACGTGCAAATGCCTAACTTTTATAATGTGATAAAAACTCTGGCCTAACTTAGGGTCTAGTCCATTTAGAGGAAATAGGTAGGCTTATGTCTTCCTTACTTCCTTATAACTTTAAAAATGCTTGTTTGCTTTTTCAACCAGCTCTATGGGCAGCTGGGGAGCAGCAGTGCCGATGGATTTAAGCTTCTTATTTATTTATTTTTGTATTTGTAATAGGCCATTTAAAATCACAAGAGCCTGAAGACAGATGAAGGAGTTGGTGTCTAATTTAGCTCAAATACCTTCTAATGTGAAATGACACTACACCTTTGTTAAAATA